CGCCGACTTGAACCCAAGCACGAAGGAGAACGACATCGCGCTACTGAAGATGGAAACAATACTGTCTCTGCCACTAGCGGTGAACTACCTCGCTCCCATCTGCCTGCCGCACAGGTCCAAATACACAGATGAAATAGTGACTGTCACCGGGTACGGGTTCCTTAGCGTAAGTATTCTAGTGTCATATTTTTGATAACACAGATCGATGTAGATACATATACCTCCGTCGTATGCGTATGCATGCCACAGATGCGTTAATGATCTAGAACGTTCATCTCGAAGTGTTACGTGATGTCTGGAAAACTAGAGCAGAGGCTTATACACAGAACCAAGGTCCGACGAGGGGTGAAACAAAGCTATGCATTAACTCCCTAAGTATTGATCTGATGTAGTAAAAACTGGGTTGGGCGAAAAATTTGTTGGCCTTTACCTACCCCGGGAATTTGGGGTTCCTTAGTTCAACAGTATGCATTGCAATATGCATTGAACATTGGACAAACCCACTTTAAGTCGACTGCAATCCTCATTAGGCATTGCTTCTCCTATTTGTATGACAACATTAAACGCGACCGCCTGGGGAGGGGGAGGGGGGTCGGATCTGACCCCTCCGTTTTTCTGGAATAACTCACGAACCGCTTACGCTCTCAACTTGAAACTTCGCACACCTTCTCCCTCATCAATTTGACGTCTTTTGTCATTTTTTCTTTTTTAACAAAATGAGATATATCTATTATATTGATGTAACTACATGGCTTTTTTCGTCAAAAAATGGTAAATGTTTGAAAAATCGCCAAAAGTCAAGGTTCAAAGTAAATTGCAAATTGAGCACATAAACAAACGTAGCTCAATGAGTTCTTTAAAATGGTTATCTCGTATTTCAAATAAAATGCGTTTTCACCCCTAACAACTTCAAAAAAAAAACTATATTTTTTTTGGAAAACATTCAGAAAAAATCCAAATTTTTTAATATTTTCAAAAGTCAGAATATATGTTATAGAGCTATAATAGAACATTAGATGTACCAAATGTCAACTTTCTATCTTGCTTTTTGACCACTAAATTGTAAAAAAATAGCCCCAACATGTGTTGTGTAGGGCACATGGTGACGTCATAAGGATTTTCGTGATTTTTAGGATGGAGACATTGGTCTTCTTGGCGAGCACCCTGGGTCCAGTGCATATAGAGTCCCTGGTCCCATTGCTGTTACGTGACACTTATTGGAAAGGGCGACCCCACAATGGATTCATATTGCACCTCTTACACACCTGCACCAACGTTTCCCAAAGTGTCCCTTTGATTAGTGGCACTTTGGCAAAGTGACACTTGCCGACTGGCCTTTCTATATGAACTGGGCCCGGCCCTGGTGAGTTGCCGGGGCTGAGCCTGACCAAAGGATAGGCCGAGCAGCCCCCAAGCACTCACCGCACCCGGCTACGGGCGAGCTCGGCTTACGGGCAACCCCAAATGGGATAAAGTTTCCCGTCCAGTCCGGATCAGGGGGTTGCGGCGTGGAGGAATATTTGAGTTTCCTGAGGATATTTTGAATACAGAAGCTCTTTATGAAACATGAAACATGTATTTTATATTATTTTAACGGTCAAAACAGCGGCCGATGTCGGTACGACGTCGCCCCGACGTCGGCCCGACGTCGGCTGGACCTCGGCTGGACGTCGGTACATGCGGGCATATCCGACATCCAGCCGACGTCGTGCCGAGGTTGGACCAACGTCGGGCCGACGTCGGCATGCCGATGCCGAGTTGCCGACGTCACCCCGACGTCGGCCGACGTCGGGCCGACGTCGGCATGTTTACTGGGGGGCTACTAAAATTTTATCTAAAAATTTTGCCATTTTTGAATTTTGACCCTAAAAACCCAAAAACTATTTTTTTTAATTTAATGGCCAAAAAATCCAAAAAGTTGTTCGATTTTCGAAAAAAAACGGGATAAATGTGATAGCCCCTACCAACTTCTATTTACATACCAAAATTTTAGATTGATATCTCTTTTTTGGCCAGGTTGTAGCGAAAAAAAACTGTTCAAAATTGATGACGTCAAATTTTCAATTTCAAATTTTTAGCAATTTTAGACCACGTAGCGCAAAACAAAGACCATCATTAGACTCGCCGTGACAAGCTGCATCGAAGCAATACCCATATTATGCAAAAATATCAACTTTGAAATTTGACCTTTTTACCTGACATTGACCTGACCTTCACCAGAAAGTGACCTGAACCGTTTCTGATGGTCTGATAACCAACACCATTGAGTTGAAAATGAAAAATTGCCATAAAACATGCATCGCACAGCCCTAGTATTGGGTTTATGTGGTGACCCTTGGTGACCTGGCCTGTGACCTGACCTGGTATTATCAGTGGCCTCTAATAAAATATATGTAGGGGAGAGTGGGGTAATTTGGCCGCTTTTTTACAAAACGATGTAACTAAAAATCGACAGCACATTTCTGCATTTTCTCAACGCTGACAGGTGTGGCATACAGTTTACTTTCTTGGACAGTAAACTTAAAATGATAGAGTAACTACTTATATTGAAATTGTGGCGTATTACAAAGGTCTGCAAAGCGGCCAAATTGCCCCACTAGCAGGGTTATTTGGCCGGGAGTGTGGGGCAATTTGGCCGGTGTTAGTTTGAGGCCATGATTTTTGTTATAGGCGAGTCAGCTTCACATTCAGCAATGACGCGTGTCCTACGACGCATTTGAAGCATTTTGGAGGTTGACTCAGCCGTCACAGGGGTCGAAAATAGTCAAAATAGCGGCTCTAGATGCGATGACAGTTTTTTTTACGAATAGCTTTTGAAGTAATCAAGCTAGGCCAAAACTAAAAGTACCATCGTAATTCTCTCGTCATTCCGCATCGAAACATGTATGTGTTGACCTCGAGAGGTCAAGGTCAAAGGTTGACTTCAGGTCACGTTACCTCAGGTCGCTTGACCTCAAGGTTACGTGAGTTCAAGGTCAGCATTTATATCATTCGATTCGCCTTGACGAGCTGAACACAATGACACCATTTGCGCGGCTGTATCTTTTTTTCTGTAAGTATTTATTAGCAAAAAAGCGTTAGGTAACCTTTGATGACGTCAAATGCCCTTACAGCTGTCCAATAGGAAATACTAGGGTGACCCGCGTGCTCCGCAACGCGAAAAGGGATATTTTCGATCGGCGGGTGTTCGGTTGTTCTTGTGTCGGTTGGGTTATCTATCCATTTCGGTCGATTGCTTTCTGACGGCTAAACGTTTTGGTTTGTGGAAAAAATATCCACCGCATCGAGGTGCCCGTGTCTGATAAGCATGCCTTCCACTTCATTTATATTTTTAAGAATACTGTTGCTTGTCATGCAAACGTGATGATTGGATCTTGGAGAGAATTGAATGCTCTTTCCAATGATAGCATTTTCAATTGTCAAACGTATCAGGTTAAGCAGCAAAATCAGTGTAATTATTTAGTGGCACATTTTGGACAAACACCATTCAATTCAGCAATTTCTCCACATTGTTTTTGATCACTTAGCTTTTCACAATTTTTCCATGAGAGACGGTACATTTTTATTGCTAATAGGCGCTGTTTCAACTCATTCCGTCTGACGATCACCTGAAATTAATATAAATTCCAAAATCCGTCCAAAACGTCCATTTTTCAAAAGAAAGTGTCCTCCCCGGTGCACGTGGCGCGTGCCAACCCCTGCACCGCACACCATTCGATAGCCCGTTCGATTCTCTACACGATGCTGTTTTCCCCGTACCAGTCGGGCCCACGGTTACCGAGATATTGCACGGGAACCGGACCCGTGTCGGGCAAATTTAGCCATTTTCGCCCGTTTTTTCAAGCCGATTTATACATGTAAAGTCTATGACGCGAATTTGCACTTTTCGGGCACGCGCCACGCGCTCGCTATCGATCCGATCGAGCTGAGACCCATCAAAGGCACGTTGTCCATCCTTGTTCTATGAGTTGCGCAAACTTCAGCGCGGTAGGTGCAACGGTGTGACCTGTAACCCGCGCTACGTAGCACCATGTCGCGACCTCGGTTACAGACAGAAACTACGTCACCACAAATAGTAATATAGATGGCATCAAGGTAGTCAAAGTTGGTCATGAATTATGTCCTTTATGGTATAATTGACCATGACAAGTCGGCCGTCCCAGCATAGTGACTCTGAGCGCACCGGCCAAGTTGCCCCGCTAGTCCCGGCCAAATAACCCCACATTGCCATTCTGAAATTTTTGTCTATAAAGTCGTCATGGCTGTACAGAACTAGATGAAATTGTTCTTGGAACCGCTGAACACCCTCAAAAATGGCGCTATAATGTTGGAATTCGTTTACAGCCCAAATACTACATGTTATACAAATTTTTAAACGAAAGTAAAAGTTACCATTTTCTAACGAAATTCACCTTTTATTAATTTTGAATAAAACTAAAAGGGGGAAAGTTTTGACATTTGTTCTCGAGTTAGTTCTGCCGATGACAAATGAATAGAGACTAAAAATATTTCATTCACTTTTATCAGCTTTCGTACAGGTGGTACACTCTCCCCTACTAGGCAACAGATACCCTATCCCTGATTTTCGATAAAATGCGTTTTACTCGATGCTATAGCGCATTCCCTAGAAGACCCGTGAACGGCCAAACCTTTTATCTTTGACCAGACCTGTGACGTCATCGGTGACCCCCAGGTCAATGAAATTAGATTACCCTCGACAAATTTGACAGGGTTTTCGAACACCGTTTGAATTTTGCGGATCCACCCAGTAGTTTCGGAGATACGGGGGGGGCAAAAAATACCCCTCCCCTCCCCACCGCGCGGAAGGTGGCCGGGAGGCCCACTACCTGCCGGGTTAGGGGGTGTTGCATCAACCTCGCCCCCTGGCCCGGCGACGGTTAAGTTTTTTTTCTAAGCATATCTTCATTTCCAGCCTAAGCTCATCCTAATAGTACATATTTCATTTATTTCATACACGCGAACAAAAATGTAGGATTCGAATCAAAGTCGCATAACGGCAAAGACTGTGAGATCGGCATCTCAGTCAGTAAGCCTTCAGGCTGAAACAAGGGCTGAAACAAGCTTTTTTTCCTTTAGATCTGACGATGTCGCTTTAATCAATCACCGTGGAGAGAGAGAGATTGATTGAGAGAGAGATTGAGGCAAGCAAGACCTTATATGCTTAAAAAGGCTCTTGAAGGCGATCTCCTCACTGCTAAAAGAGTGTGTTCCAGCCAGTTGACACTTCAACGGGTACTGTTAGATTTATGAGGTAGAAATGAGCGTACACCTTGTACATGCAACACAAGCAAAGAACAACTAAACACGTCTTGATGCACAATGCAAATCCTCATAACTGCATATATGCTTGATCTAGGTACTGCTGCTTCTAAAAAAAGACCAGCAAAAACCTGTGATAAAGACGAGCGATATGCCAAGCAGAGCCGTATCGTCTCGTCCGACCAGAGCTGGCGCACGACAGTAATGGCTTCTCCTCCTCGAACGCGGCACACAAGATCGAGCATCACTCTGCCACTGGACGAGCACGACGTCCGTGCATTCAGCAGTAGACGGCATCTTCCATGTTGTCCAGGAGCCAGTCCAGGAACGAGTAGACTCGGGTGAAGACAGCCGGCACCCCAGGCTGGCCGCAGCCGGTGCGGTTGGTGGCGATACCAATCAACGTGAACCGGTCACGGTCATACCACGTCCTGATTATCAGTGGACCGCCGAGGTCATACTGAAAAACAGAAACAGATTAGATTATTGATAAGAGCTTAGGACAAGTATAAGGTCATCTGTCTTGTGACCTTAAACACTTGTATAATGTGTATTTAGGCCAATGTTTTGAATTGTTATCATTTGAGATGTAAGGCTTGAAAAAGACATTTTGTCGAAACACATGTGTAGTCAATTCAAAAGAATATAATTCAAATTGTTCCCATTGTTTATCCCATTGCAAGATTAGATTATGCAAGAAAATTGCATTGAGCATCTCCCCGCGTCTAGTAGGGTCGTCTACGGAGCCTGCCTTCCGTTGGGGTCCGGCGAAGGGCACTCCGACCTCCTGAACCCACGCCCCGTAGGGCTATTGCCGGACCTTGAACCCAAGAGAAGGCTATTTCGTCCCTCCCTTCCCCCCCCCCCACCATCTTGGAAATTTACCGTTCGATTTTCAAAATTCAAACGGTGTTCGATAGCCCCAAGAGGGAACTACCATGTGACCCAATTTCATTGACGTAGTTAGGTCACATGTCACATTTCTCCCCGTTTACAGGCATTCTATGAGATGTGTTGTAACATCGAGTGAAGGGTATGTTATCGAAAAATCATCAATAACCTTCCAGGCGGTGGGGGGGCATTTTTTTGCCCCACCCCCCTTAAGTTTTTTCGATATATCTCCAGAACCGCTGCGCCGATCGTCACCAAACTTTCCGTACCCACTCCCGTGAATAGCTTTTGCACATTGTGACCAAAACTTTTTTCCAAAGGCTATGATAGTATAGTCAGCGGTCATGTGAGTGTGAATGAATCATAGTCGTATGGAGTGACTGTAGTGTGAACCTGATCAGTGCGTGACTAGAGGGGTTGCCCGAGGCATTGTGTCAGTAGTACTGGGAAGAATGATGTGACGGGCACTAGCCAATGGGATGAATGATTGATGACGTGATATGACGTGATGCCCCTGTATAAATGTTGTGTGCGTTCGTGTACCGTTGAGTCGTCGTGGACCGCTAGACCTGAATAGAGTCTACCAAAGTGTTGCCAGGATCTTTTCTTCTGCATACGTCTTCTACAGATAGGTTGGCCAATAATGACGTTGGAGTGAACGCCATTTCTGCCTTTTTCGACCCAAAAAAAGGTTTCGCGGGAAGAGCTGTCAGGCCTACAGCATTAGAGATATAGGAAAAATGTTTTTTACATAAAAGGTGTAGAATTAACAAGGCTACTATATTGTGCTCTCAAATTCTTGAATTTTTGGATTTTGACCCCCAACACCCCAAAAAAAAAGATTTTTTGACCATAATAGCCGATTTTTTTTAATGAATTTCGAAAAAGCGGAATATATGTGATAATTCCTACCGCCTTCTATCCACATACCAAAATTGAGAGCGATACCTCTTTTTTGGCCAAGTTATAGCGAAAAACTGTTCAAAATTGATAACGTCAAATTTTCAAGCTCAATTTTTAGCAATTGTAGACCTCGTAGCGCACAACAAAGACCACCATTAGACTCCCCGTGACGAGCTGCATCGAATCAATACCCATTTTATGCAAAACTATCAACTTCGAAATTTGACCTTTTTTACCTGACCTTGACCTGACCTCCACCTGCTGACCTTTGGTGACCTGAACTGTGACCTGTCCTGGTATTATCAGTGACCTCAAATAGCAACATATGTACTAGGCACTGACGCCCTATCGCTGATTTTCGACAAAATGCGTTTTACTCGGTGTTATAGCGCATTCCCCAGAACACCCGTGAACGGTGAAACATTTTGCCTTTGACCTAACCTGTGACGTTATCGGTGACCCCGATGTCAATGAAATTTGGTTTCCCTCGATAAATTTGACAATTGGCTATCGAACGCCGTTTGAATTTTACGGATGCGTCCAGTAGTTTCGGAGATACGGGGGGGGGGCAAAACAATGCCCACCCACCCCCCACCGCGCGGAAGGTGGCCGTGAGGCCCACCGCCTGCCGGGATAATGGGTATTTTTCAAAGTAATGTTCCTCTAATAACATATTTTGTTACATATTTCCATATTTTGTTAACCCGCGCCCCAGTGGCAGTCTCAGCCAACTTCGCCCTAGAAGGGGGGGGCATTATGTTACCACTTACCATCCACCTCTAACTCAAAAACTAAGAGGGACAGAAAGACGCGGTAACAAGCAGTCGATAGCTCTCAATGCGTACAGGGTGTCCAGAAAAAAAAGATACTACGGAAATTAAGTCGCATTCATTAACGCACGTGCCGATTTTGTTCCAAATTCATGTGCTTATAGTGCAAGACTTGGCAAAACTCATGAGCACTGTAATGCGTCGTTGGAAAGTTGTCTGCTTGCCCTCCGAGATGGTCAACATGACCATCAGTCACCTGCAGACTGTGCTAGTGCTGGAGCTGATCCGCCGTAAGGCCGCTCACATTGAGTATCTGCTTTGAGGAGCTGCCGCAACTAACCAAAGAGTTTACATGCCATGTGGCACCTGCTGTCTGTTTTGCCATATTTTGGCGAATACAAGCATGTGCCATTTTAAAATGCAAGGTGTTTATTTTCGGAATCACAGCAAAACATAATAATATCCGTTTTTTCTGGACACCCTGTACGTTTGAAAGTATTTCGATCATTTTTCTTCTTAGAGCAATATTGGAGTCACTGGAAGTCATCAAAGGTCAAAATTTGCAAAATGTCATTATATTTTTTTTTTTCAGAAAACATGCATTTATCTCAGGAACAATGATGTCTAGAAAAAACGCATGGAAAGGTAATCGATAGCTTTTGAACTTTTCTTTTGATAACGTCATCTTTAAATGACCTCAGGTCAACGGTTTAGCCTCCAGAGGGCAAAAACTCCAAAAATAGCTGTTATTACCGAAAAGTGTTTTTCGACAATAACTTTTGACTAAAAAGGCAACGATATTTCTATTGCCAGAATCGTGTTTCTCTCGCCGAGACGCGTCGAATGAACTATAGGTTGACCTTGAAAGGTCAACTTGAAAATTTACCTCAGGTCAGGGTCATGACCTGACCGGAAAAGGTCATGTTGCATATCAGTCGATGCGTCTCAACAACACAAACACAATGAGATCATCCGCAGCGTCCTATCTTTTTCCAATCGAGAGTTGAGGCTACAAAAATCTGTTTGTAGCCTCAAATGACCTCGGATGACCTTTCTAGAGGCTATCAGCAAAAAAGACATCTTGGTCGTCACGGGTGATCCAAATCATTGTGATTCTGAAATATTTGGACTGTTCTTATGCGTACACACGGATCTAGAGGCATATTCATGTTTATCCATTGACTTATAATGGTAAGGTTACGCCACTGGTCTGACCTTAGGTCTCGTATATAAAAAGTCCGAGATATTCAAATTAGAGACGCCCATAACATCATGCAATCCACCAAGTTTAACCCTCGCCGGCACAGGGGGGGGGGGGTTGATGCAACCCCCCCTAAGGTTTTTCGCGAATAACTCGCGTAAAAAGCGTCCGATCGCGACGAAACTTCCAGTACCCTCGCATTGATCAATTTTACACCTACCCTTAAAATTTCATGACCCTGACCCCAATGACCTTTGACCTGTGACCTCTTTTCTGTGACCATGTTTGGCAGAAATCGCGGTTCGGCGCATGTCGGCTCGCATTAGCCGCGCGTTTGCAAGCTTTTCGTGGTTTCAAAAGTTCAAACATGTGATTTGATGTTGCTCCCATGCATTAGGGTGGGTTTCAAGGTCACCTGAGGGTCAGGTCAGGTCATTGACCTTTGGTGACCTTGGGTGACCTCGGTTCACTTTTTCGAGTTTTACATGTTTCTAGGCTAGTTTTTGGAGCTGAATTCGAATTTAGCAACCATTTGAACATTTACGAAGTAGTTTTGGTGCCTTCATAACATGTTACGAAGCTGTCCGAGGCGGTTGACACGTATTACGAATACCCGTCACAACCCCTACAGGTTGACCTGACCTGACCTGACCCGACCTGGTCTAAATGCTTAAAGACATAATCTCTGATCAAAACTAACACGATATTCGTGATCAGCACCCCGGAAAACCACATAGCAGCCACAATTTACGACTTTCTAACAGGTCCCGATTTTCCCGGTTTTCGGGTCATTGACCTGACCTGGAAGGTCACCCGATGACCTAGGACCTTAAAATTGGGTATCATCGGCTTCGTCTCGTGACGGGCAACACGCTCGTTTTTTCCGCGAAGCTCTAGCTCGATCAGGGGCCAAACGCGAGGGGGGGTCGTACCAACCCCCCCCCCCCCCTTGTGCCGTCGAAGGACTCAAAATGGCCTGTGCCGGCGAGGGTTAAGACCTTTCTGACAAACACTGCAGGCTGGACATGATTGCAAACTTTTTTAGGCTTGGTCAGTTAACTTGACTTGGTGACCTGACCTGACATAACCTGGGGTCAAAAAATTCACACATTGTCCAAAATGGATGTACAGAAAGGTACGATAAGCGGCGCGGCGCTACGCGCCGCGGTTTTTTATTCACACGCAAAAAACGCGACAGGGTGGTAACATATGCCACCCCCTCCCCCACTGGGGCGAAGGTTAAATGAGGTCACTGATACCAGGTCGGGTCACACGGGCTAGGTCAATAAGAGTCACCATAGCCGTTTTCACGACGGACTATCCGGTGAATGCACCTAATTTGACCAAATCTGCACCCAATCTCCTTTACAACAGATATCTTTATATCATGAATTTGTTCCAAAGTTTTAATCGAAAATAATGTCTGATAATGTGAAAAATGAGATCTATAGGCATTTGTCAAACCCAAACTGACAACTTTTAAGAAACACAGTGAACCTTATTTGACCGAATCTGCACCAAATCTGCACCTAATCTGCACCAAATGTGTACCAGATGGCCGTCTTGAAAACGGCTGATATGAACCAAACTATACCTACCAGGGGTTGTGACATGTTTAATAGTCAATTTTAAATTTCAAATTCAATGTACCCATAGAAATATTTAAATGAATGTAATGTGTTATACCTTACCTCTTGAACAACTCTGGAAACCCTTTAATATTGATTTACGTATCCCGATGAATTTTTATCTTATTCAATAATAACACTCGAGTCATATCCGAGAGAAATGTTCTCAGATATATTCAAGCATAGACCTCTGTATTACAATATGTATGATTGATTATGATTCTGTATGATCTCTGTATGATTCAAGGCAATATAAAGGCAAGTGTATCAACAGCGGTTGCGCTCTAAATCTGTTCTTCCTTAGGTTTGTCAGATATAGGAGAGTTAAAGAAGCAAATTGCTCTCACCGTGCAAGGGCCGGCGCCGCCCTCCCCGACAATCTTGGCGCCAGCGCAGATCATGCTCTTCTCGATGGTGTCTTCTCCGAGATAGTCGCCACATTCGCTGTTGCTGATGGTTCGCAAGTCCACTGTTCTGAGAGTGCTACTCGGCTCTCCTATGTCCTGCGAGGTAGAATGAGCTCAATTATTAACCCGGCACCGCCTGGGCTATTTGCCCACCCACGACAGCCACCCCCCCCCCCCCCCCCTGTTATCCAACGACCAACCAACGACCAACGACCAACGGTCGTTGAAAGGTTGAAAGAACCAACGACCAACGGTCGTATCGAGCCCCGCGAGGCAGCGTTCGAAAGGTTTCTACAAGACCTTCCGAAAGCACTCTTAAGATTTTAAGATTGAGGTAAACTTTCCGGGAAGGTCGGGTCAAAGGTCAAATTCTGGGGTTTCTGCATGACGAGGCTTACGGACAGCGGAATCGATAACTCCTGCTCGAAACTCACCAAAAATGACTTAAAAGACTTAGTGAAGGTACCATGTGCGTATAGGGGCCATGCTAAGCACGGGCCAAGGTCAGGTCAGGTCACGAAAGGTCACGGTAGGTCACTTCTGCTATACGTGGGCATGCGACACATGTTTTATGGGTTATTTTCACGCCGAATCCGATGGTCATGCTTTTATGTGGCCTTAAGTCACTTACCTGGTCATTAGTGTGTATTGAAAGCATACAAAATCGTTTATACTACACATCACCAAGTCGGGGCTAAGAAAGAAAGTCGATTTTTCATTTTTTATTTTTGACATAAAATGCACTTTTCTAGACGAGCTTTGACCCAGGAATCTAATGTTGCCATTTATTTTCACATGCAATGTTCAGAAGTGCCTAAAAATCACGAAAATCCTTATGACGTCACCATGTGCCCTACACAACACATGTTGGGGCTATTTTTTTACAATTTAGTGGTCAAAAAGCAAGATAGAAAGTTGACATTTGGTACATCTAATGTTCTATTATAGCTCTATAACATATATTCTGACTTTTGAAAATATTAAAAAATTTGGATTTTTTCTGAATGTTTTCCAAAAAAAAATATAGTTTTTTTTTTGAAGTTGTTAGGGGTGAAAACGCATTTTATTTGAAATACGAGATAACCATTTTAAAGAACTCATTGAGCTACGTTTGTTTATGTGCTCAATTTGCAATTTACTTTGAACCTTGACTTTTGGCGATTTTTCAAACATTTACCATTTTTTGACGAAAAAAGCCATGTAGTTACATCAATATAATAGATATATCTCATTTTGTTAAAAAAGAAAAAATGACAAAAGACGTCAAATTGATGAGGGAGAAGGTGTGCGAAGTTTCAAGTTGAGAGCGTAAGCGGTTCGTGAGTTATTCCAGAAAAACGGAGGGGTCAGATCCGACCCCCCTCCCCCTCCCCAGGCGGTCGCGTTTAATGTTGTCATACAAATAGGAGAAGCAATGCCTAATGAGGATTGCAGTCGACTTAAAGTGGGTTTGTCCAATGTTCAATGCATATTGCAATGCATACTGTTGAACTAAGGAACCCCAAATTCCCGGGGTAGGTAAAGGCCAACAAATTTTTCGCCCAACCCAGTTTTTACTACATCAGATCAATACTTAGGGAGTTAATGCATAGCTTTGTTTCACCCCTCGTCGGACCTTGGTTCTGTGTATAAGCCTCTGCTCTAGTTTTCCAGACATCACGTAACACTTCGAGATGAACGTTCTAGATCATTAACGCATCTGTGGCATGCATACGCATACGACGGAGGTATATGTATCTACATCGATCTGTGTTATCAAAAATATGACACTAGAATACTTACGCTAAGGAACCCGTACCCGGTGACAGTCACTATTTCATCTGTGTATTTGGACCTGTGCGGCAGGCAGATGGGAGCGAGGTAGTTCACCGCTAGTGGCAGAGACAGTATTGTTTCCATCTTCAGTAGCGCGATGTCGTTCTCCTTCGTGCTTGGGTTCAAGTCGGCGTGACGAATTATCTGGAAAAATGGATGAGTTGAGATTGTGGAAAGTCTCATCATACATGTCTAATGGACAGAGGGCAAAATTAACCCTCGCCCGCACATGGGGGGGGGGTGGTTGCCACCCCCCCCCCCCCCAGGTAGTCTTTCTGCTCTGCACTCAACATTTTTAGAGCTAGAGGGCTGATTTTTCGTATAGCTGCTCCTCTATCTTTTCTTGATGTCCACTGAAAATTTCAAGTTTCTGTGGTTTTCGGTTTCGGAGATATGACCTTGTTTGTCAGGTCATGTCATTACCCAAATGGCCAATTCTCAACATCTGGCGTTGGCTATGGGCCTTGTGAGCTTTTGACACCTTGATTTCGGCCTTTTTTACCAGTCTTACCTCCCACCTATCATGGAACATGTTGTTCGACGATGTACAGATATCAAGGTCAAGGTCAAGGTCAACCTAGGTCATCTAAGATAATTGCGTTTTAGGCGAGCGGAATTTACTTTTTGTGAAGTTTTTTCAATGCATTTTTGGTAAAAGCTTCTCAGATCATGATTTCACGTAATATAGACACATAAACAATCGGTGCACACATCAGTATACACACAGACACACACAGACATATAAACACATATAATTGACCTTGACCTAACTTGACCTGAAATGACCTCAGCAGCAAAAACCTGATCGGGTAGTGTGACAAAGAGGTTCTAGCTGGCTTGGCACCAGAAAACGGCATCGTCATCGGTACGTATATGATAAGCAGGCAGCAGCGCACTTGATATCCAACGGTGACCCAGCGTCATCGGTATCTGATGGGGACAGCACGTAATATTCCAACGGTGGCCCCAAACAGCAACATTTTTTAGTTTGACCTGACCTGGAAGGTCAATTACTGACCTGAGAAGGTAAAACTGGGTATCATTGGATTCGTCTTTTCCCAAAGAATCTTTTTGGTCTTTACCGCTAAGCTCTATCTCCAACAGGAACGAAATGGCGTGGGGGATGGCAACCACCCCCCCCCCCCCCATGTGCGTTCTAGGATGAGAAAATGGCATGTGCGGGCGAGGGTTAAATCAATGCACAGTGGGGATTTTTCCGATCTAGCGCGTATTAATTCCAAAAATCTTTTTTGGATTTTTGTTTATTTTTTGTGTCAGTGGGGCTAAGAAATGTCTGAATTTTTCATATATGGCATTGTTTTATCTGTATGTCCTCGGCAAGAATAAGAAAAATGCGCCCAAAGTTCACACTCATGCGTGATTACTCAATGGGCTCAGTAAGGCCCGAAAGTATAGCTCAATTTCATTGTCCTGTCCTGTTGGTTTATTCTTGCGAGGTCTTAAAGTTGCATATCTTCTGAAAGGCACCTTTATTAGGAATGGAATGGCAAACAGAAAGTATGCCACAACCTTACTCAGGTCACAAAAAATGACATTTACAAAAAACCCTTACAGACACCATATTGAAGGAATGGTATTCTAAATAAATGTAGGGAATCAACAATGTTTTCCACACTTTTCCACTCCGAAACATATCCTATCGAATTCGCCACTTTTTCCTGCACAAGACAACGCCTAGTTTGGCTGCCGGAACTTGCCTGAACACGGAATATTCACATTAGAGTATCTTAACCCTCGCCCTGGCAGGGCATTTTTCATAACACGGCCTGGCAGGGGGGGTCAATGCGACCCCCCCCCCCTCGCGATTGGCTCCTATGGCACCTAGAAACACCAAATTTGGTAGGTAGGTGGGCCCCCTGGAGTTCTCTCCCCTGTGCAAATTTGGTTGCTCTAGGTCAATATTTAGGGGGTTTTGGGGGTATAAATGTCAAAATTTCGCTAAAAACAGGTCAAAAGTTTTTCGCTTATAACTTTTGATCTATTTAAGATAGAGCAAAAAGAAAAGCACCAGTGAACTCAGCACGCCAAGGCGCGTCGAATGATATACTTTTTAGCTTGCTTAAGTGTACTTAAAGTTTTTTCTTAATTTTTAAGTAAACTTTAATTAATTAATTAAGTTCAAGTTAACCAAATTGCATCATATTGCATATCATTCGATTCGGCTGATGACAAGGAACACAATGACACCATTTTTTTAAGCTCTAGCGTCATTATGTGCCAAGTTATTGGCAAAAACGTGATTTGACCTCAGTTGACCTCATTTGACCTGACCCATGGATAAGTACACCAAACAAAGAAGCACCAAGTGACCTGCTGTTAAGTACTGTGGTTTCAAAGCACAAAAGTGATAGAACGAAGCGGATATCTCCAGTATTTTCCGAATTTAGTATTTTCCCATAGGCTTAACATTACGACGTAATGACCTCTAACTGACCTCAGGTCAGTGACCTAAAAAAAAAACGAACTATATGTTATACAACTCGGTGAACTTAGCACATCCTGAAAGTTTGAAGGAAATCAGTCCAAAACTGTGAGTTGGACAGGTGCAAAAAGAAAATTGAAATTTGACCATGACCTTGTACCGGTTTTTCTGACCTGGTGACCTGACCCAAGGTCACCCGGACCTGAAATTTTCAGGTCATATGTAAAAAGGTTGCCCCATAGGCTGTGCCAAATTTGGCGGCGCTGCGCGCCGCCGTTTTTACGCTATCTTTGAAAAACCTTAGGGGGGGTCGCATCGACCCCCCTGCCAGGGCGAGGGTTAATACCCCACTCTAGGAGCGCTAGGGCAAATAGCACGATATAGGTATGTTCCGAACATAGGCGAATAATTTTACTTCGTGATTTATATGATGCATATTTCCTGAGACACATTCATTAGGAATAGGATGACAAGCGTAAATTATACAAACCGTAATCATATTAACCCTTGCACTTGTGGGGAGGGGGAGGGGGAAAGGGTCGGATAAAACCCCATGGTTTTCCGCAAATTACTCGCGCAAAAAGCGGCCGATCGCGAAGAAACTTTCGGTGCCCTCGAGATCATCAATTTTACATCTAACCTAAAAATTTCATGACTCTGACCCAACTGACCTTTGACCTGTGGCATATTTCTCGAGACCATGTTTGGCCGGAATCGCGATTCGGCGTATGCCAGCTCACATTATCCGCGGTTTCTAGTCTTTCTGTGGTTTTAAACGTTTAAATATGTGAAATGATGTTGGTGCCATGCATTATTGTAAGTGTCAAGGTCACGTGAAGGTCAAGTCAAGGTCATTGACCTTTGATGACCTTGGTTCACTTTTCCGAGTTTAACCCTCGCCCGTATAGGGGGGGGGGTCGAACGGACCCCCCCCCCCACGGTTTTTCGCGAATAACTCGCGTAAAAAGCGGCCGATCGCGACGAAACTTTCAGTACCCTCGCGTTAATCAATTTTACACCTACCCTTAAAGGGAGATAATGAGCTTTCTTTTTTCTTTAATAAAAATTACTCGACATCTATACTATTTCTACTGTAGTTTCTATAAAATATGAAAATTTCCTAGCACATTTTCGTATGTGAAAAAGGTTTTTATTTTTGCAAAAAAGAAGCAGTACTTGCAGTACTTGTAACACCCACCGAAATGCGTTGTCCTTCTTGTCCTTCTCTATAAAAAAGTCGCAGTATATGGCGCTTTTGTTTCAAACAGCGACGCTTGGGTTTTTGTTTATGTTATCGCCTTGTCGTTGCTTGGTTGTAAGGATTCTAATTTGAATTAGAGTTAATTCGGTTTAGAATTAATTAGATTCGTACATAGTGCCTACTCTTCTTTGTTTCCAAGTATTATTTTGCGCCACAAATGAACGGCATGCGCCATAAACGCAGCCAAATCTTGCGATTGCGACTACGAAATTCATTATTTTGGCCTCAGAGCCTGAAGCGAAAAATACAAGCATATTTATTTCAAAAAGACTTCAGGTTTGTCGAACGGTGTTATAAGAATTTTGATAACAGTACTGCATAAGTTTTTCAGTGATGCCGCAAAAGTGTTGTATCTATCTTCTTTTATTGTGCAGTCGGCGGGACCGATTCAAAATTGAGTCGTTGCTACTAAAATAGCAGCATATGGCCTCAGATGATGAACAGGAAAAATAGTTGCGTAAATTTAGACATAAACCACCCCCAAACCATGAATATCTTTTGAAGGCACTATAGACGACCATTAACTAACTATATGTGATGAAGATTAAATGTAAGGAATACGCTCATTTTACAAAATTACATGCAAGTACCAAAAAGTGATGTAAGTACTTATTCAACGGTCATTTTCAGCGCTCCCCGCTAACGTGACTTCAAGTTGAGATATTTGCGGCAAGGTACCGCATTGAGCAAAATGGTTTTAATTTACATTATAACTTGTTGTGTTTTGTCAGAAAATGATCCTAACTCAGATTTTGTGGAAAAAGGTCATTATCTCCCTTTAAAATTTCATGACCCTGACCCCAATGACCTTTGACCTGTGACCTACTTTTCGAGACCATGTTTGGCCGGAATCGCGATTCGGCGTATGTCGGCTCGCATTAGCCGCGCGTTGGCAGTCTTATCGTGGTTTCAAGCGTTCAAACATGTGATATAATGTTGCCCCCATGCATTAGGGTGGGTGTCAAGGTCACCTGAAGGTCAGGTCAGGTCAGGTCATTGACCTTTGGTGACCTCGGTTCACTTTTTCGGGTTTTACATGTTTCTAGGCCAGTTTTTGGAGCTGAATTCGAATTTAGCAACCATATGAAAATTTACGAAGTAGTTTTGGTGCCTTCGTAACATGTTACGAAGCTGTCAGAGGCGGTTGACACCTACTAGGAATACCCGGCAGGACCCCTACTGGTTGACCTGACCTGACCTGACCCGACCTGGACTAAATGCATAAAGACATCATCTGTGATCAAAACTAACATGATATTCGTGATCAGCGCCCCGAAAAATCCCATAGCAGCCACACTTTACGACGTTCAAACAGGTTCCGATTTTCCCGACTTTTGGGTCATTGACCTGACCTGCAAGGTCAACCAATGACCTAGTACCTTAAAATTAGGTATCATCGGCTTCCTCTCGTCACAAGCAACACGCTCGTTTTTTCCGCGA